AGGTCCCTCGATCACGCACGGTGACGAACGCCCGCGATGATCTCGCTAGAGATGCTCCCCGTAACACGACGACTCTCTCTCTCTCTCTCTCTCTCCCCCTCTTTTTCTCGTGGGATTTTTGCTCGAGGCTGAAACAGCTGAAAACGCGGCCGAGTTCGGATGCGCGATTGTACCTCGTTTCTCATCCCGGCTACTTCGAAGTGCATCGCCGACTATTCGAACGGAGCAATCGAGATTTATCCGGACAACCGAAATGCACAACTCCAAGGAGAGACGGATGATGACTTCTGGGGAAAACAAAATGTCTAACGCGCAAACGAGAATTGTCTAACGATATCTGCTGGACCCTCGTCAGTCTGTTCCAATGTCCGAGGACCAATTTTATCAGAGCCCAGCTAGCTAGCTCGCTTCGAGCGGTTGTTCGTCTCTTTCTCTCTCCCCCGAGGTCCGAGTCTGCGGGAGGAGGCGAGGAACCGATAAAGGCGCCGCGAGTAAAGTTGATCGTCGTCGGTAAAACCGGCCGTAAATGTTTATCGGTTCGCGCCCTTACGACTGTCGCTTCCCCGACTGAATGTGACTAGTTCGACGCCGCGGAATGTTGCAAGATTTCGCTGTGCCAGCGAGGCGCACGTCCCCGGTCGCGCCTCGCGGACGCGTTACAGATTGGAAACGCGAAGAGATCGTCGGAGAATACGTCCTTTCCTTATACGGAGGGCGAGTCGTGCCGCTCGAGGCTGGGCGATGCACTTTCTCCCGGCAAGGATCTTAAGTTCCACACACGCTCGCCGCCTCTCCGCGCGACTTCGCCGCCGACGTAACACGTGCGTCGCACACGCCCGGTACTCTCGGCTACGTCGCGCGCGGATCGGCCGCTGCTACTTTCGAGTTTTCGGCCCCTAGGCCCGCGGGGCGTTATAATTCCGGCTTCGAGAGAGTGTCTGTGTGCGAGTGTGTGGGTGTGTTTGTCGTGTGTGTGTGTGTGTGTATGCGTGTGCGCTTCGCTAACAATTAAAAATTTGTTCGCCTATTACTTATCATTTCGTGTATTTTTTGTCGTTTAAATTCAATTCACATTATTAGGGTATAATAATTAATTAATTAATTAATTAATTAATTATAATAGTGTCATTATAATTCGTAATAATATACAACATTTGTCAATAGTTCATTTATACTAAAACCCACTGCATGCTCGTGCCGAAATCACTCGCATTCTCTCCCATGCGCTCTCGCACACGCACGCGTGTACCCGCGTGCACGCGCCGACATGCATACACATGCGCTCCTCGATACACGCGCATTCTCTCTTTCTCTCTCGCTTTCTCCGCGACCTCGCCTCGCCTCCTCCCATTCTCACCCTCTCTACACGCTCAAGTGTATCTCACCGGGTACACACCTTCCTCCTACTTTCGCACACTCTCACGCCGTGGGACTGTACTGGCTTCACGCGTGGCTTATCTAACTAATTCATGATTTACGTGATTTCGGGGTATACATGTGCGTGACTGTGTATGTGTAAATGCATGTACAAATCCCCTTTTCTTCCCTCGAGATCGAAGCCTGATCTACAACGTGCGTCTTAGAAACACTTTTATTCTGTAGCCAACAGATACGTTTAAAAAATTCGTCTAGGTGAAAAATTGTACACTATACATTGCACAATCGTACATCGACACATTTTTTAAGCGTCTTGACTTGCCTATATAAAACAGAATGTTAATCGCAAGGAGCACTTCGTAGACCAGGCTGTACAGTTACAAGCAACTCGTCTCTCGTTCTCTGTACGTGTGTGTGTGTGTGTTTTATTTTGTTGCGATGAAACAAGAAAGAAAGAAGAGAGGACACGAAATCTATGTACGGCGATATCTTTGCGTTAAATACCGAGAAAGTAATGAGAAATCAACGGCGTTTTCCTCTCGGAAGAAAAGAGGAGAGAGGGAGGGGGGGAGGAGAGAGAGAGAGAGAGAGAGAGAGAGAGAGAGAGAGAG